TAATTGCAGCTCTCAGAAGCAAGGCCATCAGCTTTATCAGCTTTTTCCCATTTAACGTGATGTTGTCTATGGTTGTCATATATAGCCTTTATAAGGTTGTGGCATGCTGATAATATATATATATAATTTACATATATAATTATGCATATAATTTTTCAAGAATGCATGTTGAATTTTATTGAATGTTTTTTCTGCATCTTCTGAGATGATCATAAAATTTTTATCCTTTATTCTGTTGGTGTGATGTATATTACCTTTATTGATTTGAGTATGTTGAACCATCCTAGTATTCCTGGGATAAATCCCTTTTTTTCAGGGTAAATGGTCTTTTTCATATGTTGAATTCTGTATGCTAGTATTCTGTTTGAGAATTTTTGAATCTATGTTTATCATAGATGTTGGTCTGCAATTTTCTTTTTTGCTGTGTCATTGTCTCATTTTGGAATCAATGTACTGACGGTCTCAGAATGAGTTTAGAATGGTCCCTTCCCTTTAAATTATTTGGAATAGCTTGAGAAGAATTTGTGTTAGTGCTTCCTTAAAAGTAAGGTAGAATTCAACAGTGAAGCTGTCTGGATTCAATCTCATTAATTGTTAATGGTCTGCTTAGGTTTTCTCTGTCTTCATGGTTCAAGTTTAGTAACTTACCTGTGTCCAGAAATGTATCTGTTTCTTCTAGTTTTTTTTTTTCTTTTCAATTTGTGATGTGAAGTTATTTGTACAGTCCTCAATGATCTTTTGTATTTTTGTGTCACTAGTTTGTAATTGCTCCTTTTTCATCTCTTACATTTTGTGTCTACCTTTTCTTAGTACGGAAGATTCATCTATATAATCTTTTCTAAAAATCAACCTTTTGTTCTTGAATCTTTTTTTTTATTTTCCTTAGCTTCTATTTCTTTTATTTCTGCTCTAATTTATATCATTTATTTTATTCAGACTTAGAGTTTGATTTGTTCTAGTTTTTCTAGGTCCTTGACATGTATAGTTAAGCTGTTTATTTGATCCAATCTTTCTGTTTATTTTAATGTGGCTGCTCATTGATATAAACACCCTCTTAGTGCTATTTGCTGTGCTGCATAAGTTTTTGATATGTTGTATTTCCATTTTCATTAGTTTTGTCAAATTTTTAAATCTCTGTTTTGATTTCTTCAATGATACAGTCTTCTTTCTAGCTCATATTGTTCAGGGTCCATGTATTTGAATGATGTCTAGAATTTCTTCAGGTGTTTATTTCTAATTTCATTCCATCATGGTCTGAATAAAAAGATGATATGATTTGTTTAAATTTCTAAAACATTTATTTATTAAAAACCTTTATTTATTTTGAAAGTCAGAATTAAAGAGTTTCTATTCAATATAGTCCTGGAAGTTTTAGCCAGAGCCATTAGACAAGAAAAAGAAATCAAACGGTTATAAATTGGGAAGGAGGAAGTTATGATATCCCTATTTGCAGACAACATGTCTATATATAGCATATCCAAACTCCATCAGAAGACTATTGGAACTCATAGAAGAATTTGGTAAAGTGGCAGGATATAAAATCAACACACAAAAATAAAAAGCCTTTGTACACATAGAAAATGCCATGGCTGAGAAAGAACTAAAATCAATTCCATTCACAATAGCTACAAAAACATCAAATACCTTGGAATAAATTTTTCCAAGGATGTCAAAGATCTCTATGATGAGAATTACAATACTTTAAAGAGAGTAGTAGAAGAAGACACATCGACACACCAAAAAAAGAAAAAAAAGGAAAAATCTTCTTTGTTCATGGATTATAAAAATCAATATCATCACAATGTCCATACCTCCAAAAGTAATTTACAGATTCAATGCAAGAACCATCAAAATTCCAAGGACAGTCTCAGGTATAGAAAAAATGATACTGAAATTCATATAGAAACACAGGAGATTGCACATAGCTAAGGTAATCTTATATAATAAAAACAAAGCCAGAAGTATCACAATAATAGATTTCAAGACACACTACAGGGTAGTTATAATCAAAAGCACTTGGTACTGGTACAAAAACAGATGAATAGATCAATGGAACAGAATAGAAAGACAGAAATCAACCCACACATTTACAACTTATCTTTGACAAAGGAGCTAAAATCAATTCCTGGACAAAGGACAGTCTCTTCAACAAATGGTGTTTGGAAAACTGGATTTCCACGTGCAGAAGTATGAAGCAAGACCCTACCTTATACCTTCCACAAAAATCCACTCAAAATGGAATAAAGACCTAAATCTACAATCTGATACCATCAAATTATTAGAGAACATTGGGGAAACCTTGCAAGACATTGGCATAGGCAAGAAGTTCTTGGAAAAGACCCCAGAGGCACAAGCAATCAAAGCAAAAATTGACAAATGGGATTACATCAATCTGAGAAGCTTCTGCAATGCAAAATAAACACTCAGGAAAATTAAGAGGCAACTGACAGAATGGGAGAAATTATTTGCAAATTATGCAACTGATAAAGGATTACTACACTAAAACATATAAAGAGATCAAGAAACTGCATAACAACAAAACAAACAACCCAGTTAAGAAAAGGCAAAGGACTTAAACAGACATCTTTCAAAAGAGGAAATCCAAATGGCAGACACAGGAAAAAATGCTCAGGATCACTAGCCATAAGGGAAATAAAAATCAAAACCACAATGAGGTTTCAACTCACCCCAGTTAGAATGGCTCTCATATAGAAATCAGCAACAACAAATGCTGGCGAGGATGTGGGGGAAAAAATGTCCTAATATACTGTCAGTGGGAACATAAACTGGTACAGCCACTGTGGAAGAGAGTTTGGAGATACCTCAGAAATATGAATATAGATCTATCATATGACCCACCCACCCCACTCCTGGGAATTTACCAAAGGAAATGACATCAGCATATGAGTGATCTGAACCCCCATATTTATTGCAACTCAATTCACGATAGCTAAGATATGGAATCAACCCAAATGTCCAACAACAGAAGCATGGATAAAAAAAATTATGTGATATATACAACATGGAATACTACACAGTGTCAAAAATAAAAAAAAAGAAATCCTGTTGTTTGCAACAAAATGGATGAAACTGGAAACATCATATTTAGTGAAATAAGCCAGTCCCAAAAGGATAAATACCACGTGTTCTCCCTGATCTGTGCTAACTGAGAGAATACCTAAAACGTAATCTATAGAAGTGAAATTGACACTTTGAAATGCAGTGATTTGCATAGCCCTTGTCTCAATTGTTATAGAAGGTTTTTTTAATACTATTTGTGAACTTTTTACTTAGTATAGAGTTGATCATATATGTATAAAGTTAATTGAAAATAGATCTTGGTAAAAAATAAGAATGGGAAGGCCAGTGCCATGGCTCAATAGGCTAATCCTCTGCCTGCGGCGCCGGCACACCAGGTTCTAGTCCTGGTCGGAGTGCCAGATTCTGTCCCGGTTGCTTCTCTTCCAGTCCAGCTCTCTGCTGTGGCCCGAAAGTGCAGAGGAGGATGGCCCAAGTCCTTGGGCCCTGCACCTGCATAGGAGACCAGGAGAAGCACCTGGCTCTAGGCTTTGGATCAGTGTGGTGCACTGGCGGCAGCACGCCGGCCACAGCGGCCATTGGAGGGTGAACCAACGGAAAAAGGAAGACCTTTCTCTCTCTCTCTCTCTCTCTCTCACTGTCCACTCTGCCTGTCCAAAAAAAAAAAGAAGAAGAAGAAGAAGAAGAAGAAGAAGAATGGAAATGGAAATAGCAGAGGGAGGAGGAAGAGAGATGGGAGTGTTTGTAGGTGGGCAGGTACAGTGGGAAGAATCACTACATTCCTAAAATTGTAACTTATGAAATCCACTGAGTTTGTATTCCTCAAATAAAAGACTTCTAGAAAAAAAAGGATTACAGAGGGATAGAAAGATACAGAGAGAGAGACAGAGAGATCTTCCATCTACTGGTTTACTCCCCAGATGGCCACAGCCAGGATCCAGGAGCCTCATCTGTGTCTCCCACATGGGTGGCAGAGGCCCAAGCACTTGAGCCATCTTCTGCTGCTTTTCCCAATCCATTGCCAGGAATCTGGATTGGAAGTGGAGCAGCTGGGCTACCAGCCAGCACCTATATGGGGTGCTAGTATCACAGATGGCACCTTTACCCACTATGCCACAATGCCAGCCCCATAACTTTTAAAGACTTGTTTTGTGGTATAATATATGGTCTATCCTTGAGAATGTTCCTTGTGTCAAGTATTATTCAGCTATTGGATGGAATGTGCTGCCAAGATCTGTTAGGTTCATTTGATCTATAGTCTAGTCTAACTGTGATATTGCTTTGTTATTTTTTTCTCCCAAAGATCTGTCAGTTGAAAGGGGATTTTTTAAACTTCCATTGTCATTTGGGCTTATTTCTCCTGTTAGATCTAAAAATGCTTGTTTTTATAAAGCTGGGTGCCCAGCATTAGGTGCATATATACTTACAATCATCATATCTTTGTAAGCATTTTTTACTGCTAGTTTTTTTTTTTTTTTAATTTTCGCCATTCAAATAGGAGTGTAGAAGTATTTCCTTGTTTCAATTTGTTGTCCTAGTTGACCTATGATGGGAAACATCTTTTGTTAAATATTTGTATATATTCTTTTTTCTAAGATTTATTAATTTTATTTGAAGGAGTCACAGACAGTAACAGTCAGACTCAAACACACACACACACACACACAGACAGAGATAGAGACAGAGAGAGAGAGAGAATCTTCCATCCATCTGCTGCTTCACTCCCTAAATGATTGCATTGGCTGCGACTGGGCCAGGCTGAAGTCAGGAGCCAGGAGCTTCATCTGGGTCTCCCACTTGGGTGCAGGCACCCAAGCTCTTGGGCTATCTTCTGCTACTTTCTCAGGTGCATTAGGGGAGATCTGAATCAGAAGTGGAACATCCAGGACCCGAACCAGTGCTCCAGTATGGGATGCCATTGTTGCAAACGTTAGTGTAGCTCACTGTGCCACAATGCCAGCCCCAATATATAAATATATGTAGTTTGGTGAGATGTCTCTTCAGGTCTTTGGCATATTTCTTAATCAGATTGTTCATTTTCTTTCTTTCTTTTTTTTTTTCCACGAGGTCGGGCTGTTTATTGACAACTGTCTGCGTGAGGCCGCCCCTGCTGCCCCGCTGGGCCCGCGCTCCGGGGGCCTCCGCGCCGCCGCCGTGCCCTGGCCCCTCTCCGTCCAGCACCCGCTGCAGCCACAGGTCCGCGCTGCTCTTCGGCCGCAGGAAGCACCAGGTGACGAGCAGCATGAGGGACAGGCTCACCGGCAGCACCTTCCACCACGGCCGCTGTTGCTGCCAGCCCATCGACTGCGCCACCGTCCAGCGGGCCGGGCTGGCCCTGCTGCAGGAGAACTGGATGGGGCGGCCAGGCTCGTCCTCGCCCTCGCCGATGGGGGAGGGCCCCTAGCCCGCAGGCCCGGCGGCGAGTGCAGGCTTCGGCCCGCCCGGCCCAGCAGCCTCCGGACGGCCCCGGCTGCCGGTGCGCCCCCAGATTGTTCATTTTCTTTTGTTGTTTTAAAAAGAATGCTTTGTGTAACAGTTCTTTATCAGATACATATTTGGAAATATTTTCCAATCTGTAACCTAGCTTTTCGTTTTCTTCACAATGTTTCTCTTCGAGCTCATCAATTATTTCTGTCCTCTGTTATGCTCTATTTGTTTATAGAAATATAGCCAAATATAGAGTTTCTCCAATGTTACCTTCCAGGGTTTTTGTAATTTTATGTTATACATTTAAATCTGTAATACATTATGAGTTAATTTTTCTAAAAGGTATGGGAAACTATATCTAGATTCTGTTTTGCATGTAAACTTCTAGTTGTCCCAGCACCATTTGTTGACATTACATATTTTACAATGTGATTTTTATATTAAAATAGATTCATGATTATTTTATTCTTTCAAGTTCCAAGATTGAATCAATAGTAATTTAGAGATGTGAGAAAAGTCACAATAGGAAAAGAGCAATCCAACAATTAAAAGAGAAATATTTCAGGGCCGGCGCAATGGCGCAATGGGTTACTTCTCTTCCTGCGGCACTGGAATCCCATGTGCACACTGGTTCTAGTCCTGGCTGTTCCTCTTCCCATCCAGCTCTCTGCTGTGGCCTGGGAAAGCAGTGGAGGATGGCCTGAGTCCTTGGGCTCTTGCACCCACATGGGAGACCTGGAGTAAGCTCCTGGCTTCTGGCTTCGGTTCAGCACAGCTTCAGCTGTTGTGGCCATTTGGGGAGTGAACCAATGGAAGGAACACCTTTATCTCCGTCTCTCCCTCTCACTGTCTGTAACTCTACCTCTCAAATAAAAATAAATAAAATCTTTAAAAAATTTAAAAATAAAAGAGGAATATTTCCCTGATATGGAACAAATGCACATAACTAATGAAAAGTTTTTAAGAAGTAAAGGAGCCATCTTTACTTTGTGTTTGTAATGGCAAACACAATCAGGATTTACAAAGAATAAAAATTACTACTAAAGAAATAAAGATTTTTATTTGATAACACATTGGCAAAATGGATTCTAAAAGAAAACAAGTAAAATATTTTTTGTGGAAATATCATTTTGAATTTCAAATTCTGTAGACATGCAATAAACCAGTCAGGTGTGCAGAAAGTGAAATTATTTTCAGACTGAGGAATTTTAACGCCTGCAAGCTGAAAGAATCACAGCCATCCAGTAAAATGAAAATAAATACACTAGATAACTTGTGAAATGAAAAAAAAAAAAAAAAAAAAAAGCATCCAAAAATATATGGTAAGCTTAAATTGGGTCTAATTTTTATAGTACATGCAAATATAGTACATGTAAATGTGATCAATTTTCATATTAAAATCATAGATTATCAGATAAGGTTTAGGGAAAAAACAGTTCTGAAATATTTACAGAGAAACATTTAAAATGTTATTACAATATTTGGGGGATGAGTATCGTGGTCCAGGGGAGTAAGCCTCTATTTATGGCACCTGCATCCCATTTTGGCATGCTAGGTATAGTACTGATTCCTCTGCTTTAATCCAGCATCCTTCCAATGCATCCTGGGAGGAAACAGATAATGACTGAAGTGGCTGGGCCCTTGCCACTCATATGGGAGACCCTGATGGAGTTCTGGGTTTCTGGCTTTGACTTGGCCTAGTCCTCACTGTTGCAGGCATTTGGGGAGTGGAACAGAGAGTAAAAGATCTCTCTCTCTCTCTCTCTCTCTCTCTCTGTCCCTGTCTCTGTCAATGTCTGTGTCTTTCTCTGTCTCTCTTTGTCACTCTTTCACATACGTGAAAATAAATTTTAAAAGTTAGCAAAGTTAAAATTTTTAAAATATATTGGAAATGAAAAAAGAAATATCAGAAAGATACTTATCACTACAAAACAAGATTTTATTAGTTAAAATGTTAAGCAACATAAGCAAGGATAAATATATTGAAAATATTATGCACTATTTCTAGTTTGGGTAGTCAATGGATAAATATTTCACAGTTGTAGTAATGAATAATTTGTATTTATCAGCTATTTCATAATTTAGGAATATGAATCTACAATGTAATCAAATCCAGCTTTAATGTCACTTAATTAAAATTGAACATTTTCATGTATGTAACTTCCTGGTTTTATTTTGTTACAGAATCAAATTATACACAAAATTTATCTCTGTGGATTCCAGGAATATTATATAGTAACAATTTCTTACAAATGTAACAATTTCTTATATATTCATATGTTTCCCTTGGCAGGTGGTTTGTCAAATTTTAAGTTCAAAATTTTGATATTGTTATGGATTTATACACATACACATACATACTAGTTTACATTGATATCAGGCTTTAAATGTGATGTGCTCCTTTAATCAGTTTAATAAGACTTATTTCTCTGCCCCTGAGCAAATTTAAGTTTTTGGCAGCTCGTCATGTTCTCTTTAGTTCTCCTATTTCTCATGGTAGATCATAGCCATATTGAGCTATTGCACTGTAATGGATAATCTAAAATCTAGTAATTTATTCCTAATCCATGTCATTTATAAAATTTAATATTTGAAACTATCTTAAATAACAGAAGAGAGTAAGTTATATTTGAAGGTTGTTAGCTCTGTTTTGCTTTTAGTAAATACTTGCATATATATTTGGGGTAAGTTCTTATACAAATTTCATAAATTAATATCCACAAAGCAGTAATACCTGAAATACTTATCTCTTTATGTACAGTTACCATTGTGAATATAGAGACTTTTATCATAGCAAATAATTAAATTGAAGTATTTTTAATATAGCTGGAATTAAGGTAACTTTTCATAGGTAAAATGGGAATTATTACTATTATTGCATTCATAGTAATTCATAGTAATTCAAGTACGTTGAACTTTCCTTAGTTACCACAAAGAGGATGCGGGATAGCATACTAGAATTTCTATTTAACTGTAGAGTGTGTAAAAAGTATTTAAAACTATTGGCAGTTTTAAAGATTATGGTTCTATAACTGCAGCATGCAACACACCTATTTCATTTTACAAAACTCATATTTAGGTATATTTGAAAGACAGTTACAGAGAGGGAAGAAGAGACAGAGATCTTCCACCCACTGATTCACTCCTCAAATGGCCACAACTGCCGAAGCCAGGAGCCAGGAGCCTCCTCCAGGTCTCCTACATAGGTGGAAGGAATCCAAAGACTGGGACCATTTTCTGTTGCCTTCCCAGGCACACTAGCAGGGAGCTAGACCAGAAGTGGAGCAGCAGGGACTTGAACTGGCACCGTATGGCATTCTGACACTGCAGGCAGTGGTGGCTCAGCCACCTACGCCACAGCTCAGCCCCAAAACTCAAACTTCTGAAAAATGATTTAACAGTTTCATGTCCTCTGTTTAACAAAAAAGCAAAAACTCCTCTTGAATATACCTTAGTTGTTAACTCAACTATTCTGTCTCCTTGAAGAAACACTTGAAAATTAAAACCCAGGGTTTTCTCATGTAGACTCTTATTTTCATATTAAACACATTGCTTGAAATTTAGCATTGAAATCCTTGATTTTATTCTCAGTGCTACTGTCAATCTTTCAACATTTCACTTGACCTTTCTTTTCAATCTGTAGTAGTGGTAGAAGTAATAAGTTTCTTCTACAATAATGATCATAAGAGAACAAATAATTTTTATAATGACAATCTGTACTTAGTGAAGAAATATTTTATAAAAGATTTATTATCAATATTATAAAATTTTCTTGTGTGTAAGGCAGTGTATTCATGAAAAATTACTTTCATTTTTGCCTCTTTCTGAAGACTGTAGAATGTCCTTAAGTATGTTTCTTAAACTCCCCATTTTTTAGCCAATGATGTGATCAATAAGTGTTTTATGTTCTAAGTGTTTGGTTAAGAATTGTATTTTTTTTTTTTTTTTTGACAGGCAAAGTTAGCCAGTGAGAGAGAGAGACAGAGAGAAAGGTCTTCCTTCCGTTGGTTCACCCCCAAAATGGCCGCTACGGCTGGCGCTGCGCTGATCCGAAGCCAGGAACCAGGTGCTTCCTCCTGATCTCCCATGTAGGTGCAGGTCCCAAGCACTTGCGCCATCCTCCACTAAGAATTGTATGTTTTTATCTTGGCTCCTTCACCTGTTTTCATTTCGTTCACTTCCCTTGGTACTTGATGAGCTCCTGACTTTTTACTCAGATGAGACACATCTACTAATATTTCTTACATTACTTTTCCTGTATTTGATGACTTCTTTTTCTGAAACGCATACCATAAGTGTTTCAGTTATCTCAAATTTTCTCAGATTACTCATTAACTACATTTCTTCCTTTTATTTTTGAAAGAGTTCTGGCTTTAAGTCAATTTTCTGCAGTACTTTTCTGTCAAAAATGACACTTATTGCCCTAAAAAGATTTGCAGTATTTTTTTTCTAAGAGAATGTTGCAATCACAGATTTTCACTTTCCCAAAGTATTAAACTGTTTCTTGTTTATGATTTCTATGCCAAGTCTCAGATATATACTTGAATTAAATACTCTAAATGATTCTTTATCTTTCCCTGATTCCATTTATTATAGATATATTAAATGCCCTCATTTAGTTATTATGTGAGCATTTGGGGAGTAAAGCGGATGAAAACTAACACACACACACATGCAGACACAAAAACACATACACACAGTCTTTCTCTCTCTTTCCTTCTCTTTCAATTTCCCCCTCTCTCCCTTGCTTTTTCCTTCTGTCTGTCTCTCTCTATATATATTTATACACATATGTACATACATACAGAAGTATTTTGTTTCCATTAAAATCAAAATATGCGTAAGCATTAAAATTTTTCTATTAAAACCCATAGTCAAAAATTTCTAAATTTCCAATGCTGTTTTCTTCTTGTAAGCTAATGATGCATTCAATATTATTTTTCTTACTTTTAATGATTACATAATATTTGTACACTCCTATGTAGTTCAGTGTGATAATTTAACATATACAAATACAAGGTAATGATGAAATTGTAATTTCAATCTGTGTGATTGAAATGTAATTAACATTTCCATCTCCCCAAACATTTATCATTTCCATCTTATGAGAAGCTTCAGGCTCTTCTAGTTATTTTGAAACATATTATATTACATATATAAAAATTGTACCTTTATTTAAAATCTTACATTTATTGACAAACAGTATATGTTTTGAGCAAAATATGTATGGTCACAATTCAAATATTTGCATTATAGATCTTAATTCTAAATAGTAAACTTCTTTATAAATGATTAGCTCATTTCCTTCCTTGATTTTTCCATCTCTCTTGACTGTTAAATTTGGTTATGAAAATGATTTGTTGGCAAAATCTTATTTGAATTAATATGAGAATGTAGATTCTCTGGCTCTCTCCTCCCATGCTTTTGTGTGAATGAAGAGTGATATTGAGACAGATAGAGATGTATGTATGCATTACAAACTCTGTAAATCAACTTACACTTTTGTAGTAAATTAGATTTTAATCTATAATATATATGTATGTATATATATATATATATAAAATTCCAAGAATCCCTTGATTCATGAAGTTTTCTCTGGATTCTCTAAGCTAATTCTTTTAATTCATCCAGATAGATAGTATCATTGCTTTCAGTTAAATTGTATAACTGAGTAATTAGTAATCCACAAGGAAAGTTATTTTTCCTCTAATATTTTCTGCTTCTACCAGAAAATGAAAGTCTAAATTACCATTTGGAATTATCTGAAGTGTAGGATTTTAGGACTTACCAGAGTAAGATTAGAGGCAAATCCAAATTTTAAAAAAAATGTAAATAAGGAAATAATAGTTTTAATTCAGTTTTAAATACTAGTAGCTAGGAAGTTCAAGGATAATAAAGATAAGCTTGAGGCAAGAAATGTATAAAGAGTAAACATGTAAAATTGAAGTTAAGGAAACCAAAAGAATTCAATAAACATAAAGTGTAAGAATAAAGGTAAGTGAATGGAAGTTAAAAATAAATGGTGTGTATCTAGAAATAATATTAATAAAATGTATGTCACATGTGTAAAACATTAAAGGGTTCTGTACCCATTCTTTATCCATTCAATTAAAAATTTTTAAATGATTATGTATAATATATATAGAAATTTAAATTAATAAATTCAGAAAAAACTAAATTGTTAAAAATTAGTAGAAAAGTGTAGGAAATAATTTGCAAGTTTTCCAAAGCCAATGCTTTTATAAAATATGAAAACCCATAAGGAGGATAATCAGTTAATACTTGAGCAACCAAGGAAGAATTTTGCACCAAAATTAACTTACTTTTAACTTCATTTTTCATAAACTTATTGAATCACCCTTGTACACTAAGAGAGCACACAGGAAGCAAGCAACACAATCGAGTACATTATCCAAGGTCTAGGGAGCTGTAGATGGTGAATGTCAGAATGTCTCAGTGTCTGTGAAGAATTTAAGTAAGCACCAATGGTATTAAGATTCTTCATATCCCACTGAATATGAAGAAGCCAGGTAACAAGGCAGCAATGAGATAAAAATTAGTGCTTACTCACTGTCCCTTTCCCCCACTTCATCAAAAGAGTGAACAAGCATCTTACCACTAGGGAAGCAGATAAGCAATAGGACAAAAAAAAGGAAATACAACTCCAGTGCCCAGTATTGTCAGCAGCATGACTATACACTGACAAAGAAATTTGTTTGTGAAGTAGGTGGTACATTTATCATTAATTACTCACTCTTTCCTAGAAATCTTCTGAACTAATTAATACAGTCCCAAGGTCATTTTTATCTTTATCCATGGATGATTATTGTCTGAGATCATTGACTTTCTTCCCTTAACTATTCTTAACATTCTTGTTGCATGATCTGTCCTCAAGTTTGAGCCATTCACTTCTGATGAAATGTCCTCCTTTTTCACCATACATGTTGTTAACCTACACATTTCTATTGTGGGAATCACCTCTTAAATCCCAGTATTTACTTCTGACTGCTTCCTTCTTTCTTCCTCTAGTGTCTCCGTTTCATTTATGCGACATCCTTCTTGCAGTCTCCAAACCTCTCCTCTACCACTTTTCACAGTTCTTTGTCCATGATCATTTACTCTTTGTCTGCATTTTTCTCCCCAAAATCTTCTAATTTTTTTTCTAATCTCATATCCTCAGCCTTCCTTTTTCTTACAAAAAACGACTATCTTCTGACTACTATTGCAAGCTAACTCATTAAATTGCATTGTCTCTGTAACTAACACCTCTTTCTAAAGTATCAACTATTTTCCTTTCACTTTATCCTTTAAAATAAGCTTAATAATGGATGTAATATTTATATTCTCAAAGGAAAAAGACTGTTTGAACCTAAGTTCCTTACCAATTGTCTTTTCATTTTTATGTCTTCATTCATGGTAAAATCATTTGAATTTTTAAATGTTTTGGTATCTGCTCCTCTTTATTTCTCACTCAACTTTAAAGTCACATTGGTTTCCAGTATGCATTTTGGATTCCTGTTTCAAAATCACCAATAAACTTCCCACTTGCCAAATCTACTCTATAGTTCTAATTTTAGTTGTTTGTGAGCAACCTTTGGAAAATGTCATCATTCTCTGTTTTTGAAACACATGAAACTATTAGAAAAGTGGCAAGTGAGTCAAATAACGTTAATTTTATAATAGGATATTTTAAGTTATATATGTATAAATATTTTTGTAAGATTTTGTCTTACAGCCTAGCTTGCAAATTTTTAAGGTCTAACCCTTGATCTATTGGAAACTCCAACTAAACAGGGCACATGTTATAAAAGTTTGCATATTTTGATGAACTTCTGGATCACCCAAGAGTAACTGTGCAGTGAAGAAATCTTGACTAGTAAAATTGGTTAAGCTTTACATAATGCCTAGTCTATAAGAATAGAAGATAAAGCATGTAAAATAAGAAACAAGATGAAAGTGAAAAGCATAAAAACCAGCAGCATACCGGAGGCATACACTGTGGAGAAAGTAGCATTTCACCATAAGATATGCTCAAAAATATTTAATGTTCATTTTTATAGAAAAAATAAATTACAAAGCAGAAACTGGTAGACCCATCTTTATTACATCATAACTGAATTTACAATCAAAATTAAGGTTATAGTTTCTGAAAAGTATGTTAATCACAGCAAATTATGCAGTTTTTCAAAATGACCAGATATCCATTGTATTTATAAATTTTATGTAGGTACCAATATGGAAGAATTTTTTTAGTGTATCTAAATATAATTTCTGCTTATACCGCTAAATTACCCCTAAACTGAAAAGCAGATTCTAGAGCTTGTTTCTTATTCTTCCTATAATGATAGGACTGTAATGGCAGTCTAATGATAGTAGTCCCAGTGACTCCATTCAGAGAAAGAAGTGAGAATTGCACATTTATTTTAGCAAATAAGCATGCAGTTAATTATAACTCTTGGTGTTAGTCTGCCATTCTCTTGCATCTTTGGAAGCTAGAGGCACATAGTTCATTTAAAATAGCAGTTTTTTATGAGTTACAGTGTTTTTTAAAATAATATAGGTATATGAATTCACCCACAGCATGACGAGAAAAAAAGCTTCTGTTTTGTTGGAAGTGCTCAATAACTACTTAGTGTCTAAAAATTTGGACAACTGAACCATGAAGTGTTACATGTATTAATGTTCATGTTGCTTTCCACTCTCAGTTACAATACTTAGTTTCCATATGTGCCTTAAGTACTTCACTGTGTATGTTCTGAATACTTCCATGTTGCTTATTGGAATTATAATATATTTTTAATTCCTCAATGTTATCAGAGTGAGTACCTATGTTAAATAAATATAAAGAACTATAAGGAGGGGCTGATATGGTGGTGTGGCAGGTTAAGCAGCCACCTGAGGTGCCGGCATGACTTCTGTAGTGCCAGTTTGATTCCTGGATGCTTGGCTTCCTATCCAGTTCCCTGCTGATGTGTCTGGGAAAGCAGCAGCAGATGATCCAAGTACTTGGGACCCTGCAACCCACGTGGGAGACCCTGCTGAAGTTCTTGGCTCCAGGCTTCAGCCTCACCCAGTCCTGGCTATTACAGCTATTTGGGGACAGAACCAGTGGGTGGAAGATCTCTTTTTCTCTCTTTGTCTCTCCCTTTCTGCAACATCCTGCCTTTTAAATAAAAAATAAATAAATCTTACGTGTACCAGGAGCTTCAAAGATTCTTTGATGATTCAACAAAATGGTAGTTAGGGGTCTCTCTGTAACTTTGTGAGCTTAACACAAAGGAGTGAGGGAGAAAGCATCCAAACCCCCCTAATTTGCAACCTGAGACTTTGCTGGAATATCACAAATGATGAACAGCTTCCAAAAGTGAGAACAAAATGATGGAAGAGCTGGGCAGTAGCTAAATGTGACTCAATCTATGCAGTCTATATAAGCAACTAAGTACAGGAAATTGTAAATTCTCACTCCAGCTCCAATAGAATAAAGCATCAGAAAAATCCCTTTACCATGCCTCAGCAGATGCTTGCTGCAGAGAATTTTCATCACTCCGAGACTTCCAGTAAGAATGAATAATATTCATTCATTCTGCCCCAAGAATAATAGATATATAATGAACATCAGATCTGATAGAAATTGATCCTCAAGGAGTCTACTTTGCAACGATATGGATAGAGAAAAGAAAGAAGCATAACCAGCATTTCCTACATTTCCATTGCAATATCCAAATAAAGAATCTCTGCTTTGTGAGTCTGGCTTCAACAATATTTTCTCTGTATGACTTTTCTAATGGAAGACTAGATGGAGGGACAGCATTGTACACAGTGGTTTAAGCTGCTAATTGGGATATCCCGAACCCATAATGGAGTAGTAGCTACTCTGTTGCCAATGCACCTTCCTACTCATGCACACCCTAGGAGGCATCAGATGATGGCCCATATTCTTGGATCCCAGTGACCTGTGTGGGAGATCCATATGGGGTTTCAGGTTCCTAGCTCTGCCCTGGCCCATCCTTGGCTTTTGCAGGCATTTAGGGAATGATCCCACAGATGGAAAGTTGATACCTCTCTCTCTTTCTCTCTGATTTCTTTTTTCAAATAAATAAATATGTATATAAAATTTAAGATGTAAGGCCGGCGCCATGGCTCACTTGGTTAATCCTCCACCTGTGGTGCCAGCATCCCATATGGGCACCGGGTTCTAGTCCCGGTTGCTCTTCTTCCAGTCCAGCTCTCTGCTGTGGCCCAGGAAGGCAGTGGAGGATGGCCCAAATGCTTGGGCCCCTGCACCCGCATGGGAGACCAGGAGGAAGCACCTGGTTCCTGGCTTTGGATCAGCGCAGCACCAGCCGTAGCGGCCATTTTGGGGGTGAACCAACGGAAGGAAGACCTTTCTCTCTGTCTCTCTCTCTCTCTCACTGTCTAACTCTATCTGTCAAATAAAAAAAAACTTAAAATGCAAAAATAAAAATGGAGGAAATTTAGGATTCCAGGTAATTGCTGTGGTATTTAAGTTTCAGCAGCAATATGAACCTAATATATGAGTATGTATTTCATGTATGCTTCAGATCAGTTTCTGTTGTCTTCAAAAATCCTTGATTGCAATCTAAAAAGTTCTGAACTTACTAAATGACAATAGTATTACATGCATAATTTTAGAAGATTTGCTTGCATATATGTGGTAAAGAAAATTTATAGAAATAGACCTCACAAATGACACCACAAGCTAAAAATATGAGTATATTTATGCAAAAATAATGAAGTGACTTATTTTCTGTAATGAAAGACCTCTCACAATCCATTCCCAGTTCAGCCAATTAATATCACCTTAACCAACCACATTTCACATTAAGCAGTTATCATACCATAAAAAATTGTGCTTTCACAGATCGGGCACTAGCTGTAACTGGCAGTAGGGGAGCTTTCCAGATGTTGCTAAAGAATTGTGCTTGTGCTTTAGGAACCTCAAATGCAATTGGGTCATCCAAATCATCTCTGATGCATAATGCAATAACTTCATCCTTACTGACTGCCAGAATGCATGAGGTACATCAGTGTGAAATCAGCCTTCACAAGGCCCTCATTATATGTGAGCAACCCTGGATTGCTGGAGTCAGGGTACTATTGTATCTATTTTCCATGACATGCATCATCAATAATGCATCAAGATTAAGCAAACAGAACATTAAACACACCCTGCATGTCAAATTGGGGGAGATAAATGATAGAAAATCTAGCTTTGTTTAATAATGTGCACAGACACACATATTTTTGTATACATGAGAATAACAAGGATATGCATGGTGATTAAACAAAGCATCACTTACTAGACTATTAAGATACCTCAGCAACAGAAGTGAGCTCAAGCCAAAGAAAAAAAAGTCTAGAAGGAACTGCAGGCTGATAGGCAAAATCTCTTGGTTCAACCTGTCTTTGGGTTGCATCTAATATAGAAAACCCCATCCTGTCCTGTTTGAATAGATATCTTTATTATCACATTAACATATTCATTTAATGGTAATTGCATTTCTTCTTAATGTTGCATAGTATATCCATGATCAGTTACTAATAAAGAGTAACAATTTACTTAATATCTTGAGCTAAGTATTTCATTGCCACATTTTATTCCTCTTCGTCCACTTTGTGAAGATTAGCAGAAAAAAAAAGATTACAAATTGAGATTATACTAATCCTAAATAGAGTCCCATTATGCACAGATTTGTTGAATAATGCATCATCTCTCTTCCTGAGGTTTATAATCATACCCTAATATATTCCCCTGACATGTCCTTTAAATTCCAGTCCACTCTCTACTTTGTAACCAAAGTTTTCATTCAGGATACTGAATCTGCTCATAACTGACTAGTGTAAGCTAAATAAGCCTCGCACCCTCATTCCTCTCTGAATGTTCACATCCTCATCACCATAATCTGTGAACACATTCTCTCACATGGCAAAATGAATTTCTCTAATGTAATTATGTTGGAAATCTTGAAACGAGAAGATTGCTATATGTTATTCAGCCACCTCAGTGTATTCACAAGTGTCCTTCTAAGAGAGACTCATAGTGTTTCCACTACAGAAAAAGATGTGATGGAACAGAAAGTTGAAGTTATGTGCTTTGAAGATTGAGAGAAAAGTTCAAGAAATGCAGAGATGTCCTGAGGCTGGGAAGAGGAAATAAACATGTTCTTCATTTGCAGCCTGCAGAAAAAGATGAACCTGCCAATGCATGATTTTGCAACCATGACCCCCAGAAATTTAAGAGAATAAATCAGTGTTTTTATAAGATATGAAATGATAAGTAATTTGTCAGAGAGGCTCGGAAAACTAGTATGTGTATCTTAATTATTAAAAACAAATTGGTTGGCCCTTATCCATTAAAGGTGACATCCAAATGTATCATTATCCTAAGATACCTTTACCACATCCAAAAATACATCAAATTATGCTTATAATTTAATACACTCGTGAACTGTCCTCAATTTTTTTATTGGTTCCTTCTTGTGTCCCATAAGTGTTAGATAAATATGTCATGAATATATCACTACATTGGAAGTGTTTTCTACCAACCTTATCACATACTAAATTATCCTTTCCTTAATTTTTAGCTCAAATTTCACTTATCCTATGTTTTCTTCTTTATCGCTATAGGAAAGATACCCCATTCCACTCATGGAAGCACTGTAATAATGATCACACCTGAAATATGAAATTTGTTGCCTAGCATTTACAAATCCCACTTCCCAACAAAAATGGGAAAATATTGACAGCAGGACTGTGCCATAATCATTTCATCTCTAATAATTAGCAGGATATCTAACACATAAAAGATTGCCTTTGAATCACTACCACTTCTGATGTGAACTTTGAAAGCCTCTTTTGAAGAGCATGATTTGAAAAAAGAGGGGTGTCAAAGCATATTTTCAGTTGAATCTACGAATTTTTAAAATTTATAAATGAATGAATATATAAGTGTACATTATGTACTTATGTATATTCTGCAAATAAGAGTGTGCCCGAGTGAGACCCCATCAAATAAGCAAGCAATATATATTTTTTAAATGAGTTGACCTTTTTTTTTAAAAAAAGTTTATTTTGTTTATTTGAAAGACAGAGTTATAGAGTGAGGTAGAGATAGAGATAGAGGTCTTCCATCCACTGGTTCTCTCCTGTGATGGCTACAAAGGCTGGAGCTGTGCCAATGGGAAGCCAGGAGCCAGGAGCTTCTTCCGGGTCTCCCATGAAATGGGTGCAGAGGCCCAAGGTATTGGGCCATCTTCTACTGCTTTCCCAGGCCATAGCAGAGAGCTGGATCAGAAGAGGAGCAGCTGGGACTAAACCAGCTCCCATATGGGATGCCGAAGCTTCAGGCCAGGGCTTTAACCTGCTGCACCACAGCTCTGGCCCCTGAGTTGATCTTGTCTTAGGCATATATGTGAAAAATTAGGATTTGCGTGAAAGATAAGATGAAAACAATTATTGAAGAACATGTACTATACACCTTTAGAAGAAGAAAGCTAACAATCTCCTATATATGAGTGCTATTATGATTAGATGATTTGTAAAATGAAAAATAACATGACATGTATAAATAATGTTTAATAAAGGGTTATTGTTCTTCATTGCATAAGAGAAATTGAGTTAAAATGTCCGAAAGAATGCTTCTAAATGAGAGCTTATAAAGGACTCAGAAGGGCCAGTGCTGTGGCACAGTGGGTTAAAGCCCTGTCCTGAAGTGCCGGCATCCCATATGGGCACCAATTCGAGTCTCGGCTCCTCCTCTGCTGATCCAGCTCTCTGCTGTTGCCTGGGATAGCAGTGGAGGATGGCCGAAGTCCTTAGGCCCCTGCACCCACGTGGAAGACCTGGAGCAAGCTCCTGGCTCCTGGCTTCAGATTGGTGCAGCTCTGGCCGTTGCAGCCATCTGGGGAGTGAACCAGCAGATGGATGACCTCTCTGTCTCTACTTCTCTCTGTAACTCTGTCTTTCAAATAAGTAAAATAAATATTTTTTAAAAGGACTCAGAAAAGAAAACAAATTATATGTTTTTCTTTTATTGCAATTAAATGGCCTAAATAATCTATATAGTTGTTCATTTTTGGATAAAAAATATTAAGGGTACTGATTTTTTGTCCACATTTTTAATAACCTTTTCCAAGGTAAAGGAAGTTATTCTTTTGTGCTATGAAGAGTCAACATGCTTTTCACACATCAAGTTATGAAATTTTCAAATTCCTAAAATCTTTTTCCAAACATGACTGTATGTTTTTTAGATATTCTAAATAATTAAAATGCATATATTTACTAATTTGAGAATTTGAGCACTTTTTCATTTCCAGATACTGTATTTGATACTACAGATGTAATGGTGAACAAAGTGCTTAGGGAGTTCCCAACCCATATTGGAGTGCCTGGAATTTAGTCTTGCCTTTACCTTTAGATCAAGCTTTTTTGCTATTGTGCCTGGAAGCAGTAGATGATGACCCAAGTTCTTGAGTTCCTGCCATGCATGTGGGAGACCTAGATGAATTCCTGACCCCTGGC